TTCTTAATTACATTGGGTGTACACTGGAAACTACCACCATGGCCCTTCCTATATAAGAAGAAAGCACCCTTCAGATCAGGCGCTTATAATGGATTCTGAGGCTGTTCCCACATGGTCCCTATGAAGCTACTAACACTATCACCAGAAGAAATGGCCTGTGGCACGCTCATTCTCCTTCGCCCCCCACATGTTCCCTTGGGGATTTCTTTCTCAGCATGTGCAAAGGTTTCTGCTCAGTGCCCATTTCCATATGGCCTCCCTGTCCCTTCCTACCCACCCCAAATTTCACATTCCTCTCTTCTTTGATTTCATTATGAAACGACCCATTCTGCCTTTAGAAAGAATTACATATTCCACACATCCGTTTGCATGTGTTTTTCTACAGCTCTTGTCTACAATCTTAAAGTACCACATTCTTCAAGACCAGGAACCAAACTTGCACTGGACCATAAAACATACTGATGGCTAAAAGTTTCATAGATAGGTGCACTAGGTTAGATCTGCTTTCAATAAATTAATTTAAAAGTAAATGAAAAGGCCCACTGCTTATTAAATATTTATGCACTATTTTTTTTCCATCCATAGTCTCTGGAGTAGCAGTGAAGACCGACAGCTAGACTGAATGAGCTTGAATCCAGGACCTGCCAGTTTACTAACTACTTAAGCTTAGGCCAGTTTTGTTCAGTTGATTTTTTTTATCCTCTTATGCTTCAGTTTCTACATCTGTGAACTGGTGAAATAATATTACTTCCTTCCATAGAGTTATTGGGAAGATTGCATGTTACTTCATATTGTCATGCACAAAGTGATTAATAATACTATCCATTTTTGGATTTTGTGTGGTGCCTTGCACACTGTAACCTATTTATTAAGCATAATAGCAATAATAACAGTAGCTACTAGCATTTACTGAGCAATTATCATATGATAGAAACTGACCTAAACACATGTATCATCTTATTTAATCCCCATAATAACTCCATGAGGTAGGACATATTGTCCCATTATAATGATAAGGTAAGTTAAGATTCAAATAATTTACCCAGGGACTTAGAGCATGCAGTCAGTGTCAGTGAACATTCTCATTTATTCTCCCGTATCTCCCTCCCTCTCTCCTTCTCTCTTTCTCACACTGGTACATGCATACACACACACACACACACACACACACACACACACACACTCTCTTACCCACTGGTTTGATCGACTAGTCATTACACAAATATTTCTTACCACTTACTACATGCAGGACTCAGTGCGTCCTGTGGGAGGGAGGGGAGGACAGAAGAAGTAAGCAGGGAATGGTTACCATCCATCCATATAATGAAAGGAGTGGCTCTGATAGAAGTGCTCCAGGTATAAACCGTGGACTGCGAGAATGCTGAGGAAGCCAACATAGACCAGCCCTGAATGGAAGGAAAGGGGAATACAAGCATTCTACAGGGAGGCCTCAGGGGTGTTAAGTCAGATGGAATGCCACAGGACAGGCAGGTAGAGTTTGACTGGGAGTGCAGGGTCATAAGAAAGTGGAAGTGTTACTTGCTCAGTCCTGGCCAACTCTTTTCGACCCCCGAGTCAAGGATCAAACCTGCATCTCCTGCATTGCATTCACCATCTGAGCCACTTCCCCCGATGGCTCAGTGGGTAAAGAATCCAACCAGAATTGAAAGAGACATGTGTACCCCAATGTTCATCGCAGCACTGTTTATAATAGCCAGGACATGGAAGCAACCTAGATGTCCATCGGCAGATGAATGGATAAGAAAGCTGTGGTGCATATACACAATGGAATATTACTCAGCTATTAAAAAGAACACATTTGAGTCAGTTCTAATGAGGTAGATGAAACAGGAGCCTATTATACAGAGTGAAGTAAATCAGAAAGAAAAACACCAATACAGTATTTTAATGCATATATATGGAATTTAGAAAGGTGGTAACGATGACCCTATATGCAAGACAGTAAAAGAGACACAGATACAAAGAACAGACTTTTGGACTCTGTGGGAGAAGGTGAGGGTGGGATGATTTGAGAGAATAGCATCGAAACATGTATATTACCATATGTGAAACAGATCACCAGTCCAAGTTTGATGCATGAAACAGGGCACTCAAAGCCCATGCACTGGGACAACCCAGAGGGATGGGATAGGGAGGGAGGGGGGAGGGGGGTTTGGTATTGGGGACACATGTACACCCGTGGCTAATTCATGTCAATGTATGGCAAAAACCACCACAATATTGTAAAGCAGTTAGCCTCCAATTAAAATAAATAAATTAACTTTAAAAAATAAAATTAAAAAAATATTGAATTCAATTTGTAAAGAGATTTAAATAAAAAATTTAGAAAAAAATAAAAAGAATCCACCTTCAATGCAGGAGATGCAGGACACATGGTTTAATCCCTGGGTCAGGAAGTTCCCCTGGAGAAGGAAATGACAATGCACTCCAGTATTCAGTTCAGTCGCTCAGTCATATCTGACTCTTTGCGACCTCATGAACAGCAGCACACCAGGCCTCCCTGTCCATCACCAACTTCCGGAGTCCACCCAAACCCATGTCCATTGAGTTGGTGATACCATCCAACCATCTTATCCTCTGTTGTCCCCTTCTCCTCCTGCCCTCAATCTTTCCCAACATCAGGATCTTTTCAAATGAGTCAGCTCTTCGCATCAGGTGGCCAAATTATTGGAGTTCCAGCTTCACCATCAGTCCTTCCAATGAAAATCCAGGACTGATCTCTTTTAGGATGGACTGTTTGGATCTCCTTGTTCTTTGTTTTTTCCACCAAGTAAGTTATATTTTTGAGCTCTCTTTATAATATTCCCCAGTTGGCACTCTGCTCGTGTTCAGTTTTTCAGATTGAGCACAGCTAGTTATGCTTTAATTGGTTGATATCACCTTTGGTTATCCTTGTTCACCAAGTTAATCTCTCATACTATTTTCTTTATAATACTTTGATTATAACTGTATGTGTGGAAGAGTGTGTATATGTCCCATTATCTCTGTAATTACCTGCTTGATCTGCTTGATTTCCTTCCATAAGGAAACAGGCACAAGTCACTCATAACATGAAATCAACATAAACCACTCAACCAATCTTTCCTTCCAAGGACAAAAACCAAAATGAAGAAGGAATACATCCCTAAAATCTGAGGAAAGGAAGCCTCAAGTGGAGCAAGTTATAACAAAAAATGCTGAAAAGACAGAGAAATACAGCAGAAA